ACCAACTCTAATAGCAATTTTTACAGCATGAAGCGTTTATTCATCAGCTTAACAACATGAATAATGATTTCAAGTGCCTAGGCCATTAAAAGGAAAAGAAGATTGAAGCAGTATATTCAGAGTGCTACACTAGGTGTTGGTAATTTTTATTGTAATTCCAGCCAGTGAAATACCATTTTGTAGCAAATTTATTATCATGGTTATTTTTTGCTGTGGTTTTAATTAGTGCAAGACATTTTTCCACAGTTTAAAACAAAAGATATAGGTTAGAAACTAGAAGTTTTTTTGTTTGTCAAATGAATTTCCCACTTTAGAAATACTCTATTAGTCTGTATCTCTTAGTTTACTGCTTTTTATTCTTAAATTTGTATTTATTCTTTGGCCATTTCATGCATGGGTACAGTGCATTTAGATCATATTTATCCTCCAATCCTACCTCCAACTCCTCCTGGACCACCCCTAACACCTTCTCCCAGTGTCTTCTTTTCCTCCTCCTCCTGCTCTTCCTCATTCTGCCTCTTTCCTTTATAAGGCACTTAGTACAGTCAGTGATCCTGCTATGTTTGTGGGTGTAGGAACATCTGATGGCTCATGGACCATCGACCATGGGCCAAACCAATGAAGAAAATTGCCTCTCCCTTCTACAATACAAATGGTTGCTCAATGTTTGCTGTAAAAATTTTATCAAATTATAATTAATTATTGGGCATATTTTAATATATATTTTTATGAAATATTTGCATTCCATATAATATTTCTTAATCATACTTAGACCTCCTAGCCTATCTGCACTCCCCTATAGCACACCCACCAGATTTTATGCATTTGTCATATATATTAAGGCCTATTGAGTCAAGTTTATATCCCTGGATAGCCCATGGTGTACATTCATTCACTGGAGCTTGCTCAGCCTATCTAACATCAGTCCCTTGATGAAAACCAACTCTCCCTCACCCAGAAGTGATCAGCTGCCAATAGTTCCTCAGCTAAGGTTGGGGCTTGCTGCCCATTTCTCCAGTTCCAGGCCTTTTTTTTTTTTATTTTCTGATTGAATTTGCACATGTCTTGGGCATGCATTAACCATTGCTGCAAATTCATCTGAGAAAGTTCCCAGACTCCTGGAAAACTCTGTTTCCTTATGGTCATGCACAAACGTGGTTCAGGCAGATGCAGGAAAACAGAGGAGAGAGACTGGAAATTCTGTAGGGTTTAAACACTCTCAAATCCTGTATTAATGATTTCACAAGGAATTTTCACTAATGAGATGAACATTAGTGATGCAAAGAACTAGAATTTTGCAGATCATAACCAAAATAATTTGTATGATATTTAACCTCCTTAATAACTATTCATTGCCCATTGCTATGTTTGCCTAAAAGCCTTGTGAGTAGTAGGTAATTTTTGGAATATACTACTAGAATACTAGCTTGCATCAACCCGAGACTAAGAATGTCATCAGATAGCATCTGAACCTCTTTGCCATACCCCTTATCTAATATTCTTAACCATGTATGCTAATAAATTATGTTATAAATCAATTTTTTCCTGTTTCTGTGAAAGCTTCATGTAACTTCCACCATATTGGAGCACAGGATTTGGGTGACTGGAATCCATGTTTTCCTTGGCCATGGTCACTCATGTTTGACTCTAGAATAAACTATCTCTTATCCCTTCTGAGGTGAGAAAAATGTTTTTTTTTAAATCAACATGTTTATAATAACAAAGTTATCTAAATGAAAAGTTTGAACTTATGATTCATAAGTACACATAAAAGATTAATGCATTCCAAGTGAGAATATGCAGTCTCATGCTTTCTAACATTAAATTTTAATTAATTAAAATGTTTGTGGAATTTAGGATAGTAGTTTAGACAGTATGAAAATGCATTTTTAAATTGTAGCCATTTTTTGCTTTTGTGCTTCACTGAGACTTATAGTTCCTAATACCACAGACTAGCCAGTAACGTGGTACTCTTGTCCCTCAGTATAGTGATTATAGGACTTGATCTATTAAGGGTGGTTCCAATTAGCTCATGAATTCAATTAATTTAGAATAATTAAAAATTCAATAGATAAGCCAGGTGTGGTGGCCCACGCCTTTAATACCAGCAGTCAGGAGGCAGAGGCAGGCGGATCTCTGTGAGTTCAAGGCCAGCCTGGTCTACATAGTGAGTTGCAGGACAGCTGGGACTACAGGGAGACCCTGTCTCAAAAAAAAACAAAAAAAAAGCAGTAATGCTGAAAAAAAGGGTTTTCTAGTTTTTTTTTCCAGCAGTCCTTTCCAGCCCTCCCTTCCTTTTACTCAAAAATACCCCCCCAAATAAAATTCAATAGATAATTTGTTCTTGCATTTTGAAAAACAACATTTTACCTTCTAGTATGTTCAATGTTTTATTTTGTTTATTTGTTTGTTTGATATTTGGAGTCAGCATCGAGGACTATGATAAGAAAAAAAAAAAAAACACTAGAAACACAATGCCTCCCATTATTTCTAAACCCTCTGTGCCAAATGCAGATTTTTGAGAATTTTTCTATTTATTAAATTTCCAGAAAATATATATTAATTTGTATCAATTAACATAATTTTTATCACTTATTGTTGCTCTAATTTATTTTTTCATGTGATAGCACACTCATTGAAAATGAAGCAACATGCATCTACTTGAAAGACCTGAAGCAGTTACTGTCTGCTTCTAAGGTTTCCATTACAGATGCAAGAACAAAGTTTCCTTGTGCTGTCTCTCTGATTGCGGCAGCCATGACTGAATCGAGGAATACAGAGGAAAAAATTGAAACAACATAAATGAGGAAGATTTTATTTGGTTCACAGTCTATCCAGGGTATCAGCCTTGCAAAAGCTTTAATAGAAGTTCAGATTTTTTTCCTGGAAATTTTATTGCACAGTTTAATTTGAAGTATTCAGAGAAGAGGAACAGGATCATGGTAGTAGTGCACATGTATAAAGTACCATCTGCTTCATCATTGCTTAAGGAATTTAAATTTTAATGTATCTTATTTTAATCAAATACTAAACATCTATACAAATCCAAAATTTAAAATTATATAAACAGCATTTTCTCATCCATTCTTGTGCCTTTCTCCCATTGCAACTCATAGATCAGTGAATATCCAACCTGATAGTACATGTTCTGCTTTTTTCTTTCTAAGCATTAGTGTGTTAGTAAAAATTCAAAATCTATTTTAAAATATAAGTGAACAATTTAAATATTATAAGAGCTATGTCCTAATTTCTATTTAGTATTTTTTTTAATTTATGCATCTTCTCCAACACACAGTGAAATGACAAATGCATTCGGTTATTAATTTATTTCATTATTGATTTATTTTGTTTTAATTTTTATAAACTATAATTTGATGGTATTTATAACATCTCCTGTATTTGTACCTCATGTTACTGTCTCTGGCCCAATTTAATGTACTTTATTACATAAAATATGGATTGGAGTTGAATTTGTTTGTGTATTATTCCTCAATATGGGTTCATTCACTGGAGCCTGATTAACCTATCAAGAGTCCCAACCCTGTAAGGGACTGTTTCTTCCCCTCTTGCAGCCATCAGTTGCAAAAAGTTCTTTAGGTCAGGTTGGGATTTCTAACCTACTTCCTCTTATCTATGCATGGATTTTTTTGGTTTGAGTTTGCATGGGACTTGTGTATGCTGTTACCTTTGCTGTGCATTCACATGTGTGCTGGGTAGCTTTAGTGTCAACTTGACACACTTGGGTTGAGGGACCCTCAATTGGGGAATTTCCTCCATAGGACTCACCTGTGGCCATGTCTGTGGGGCATCTTCTTCATCTTCTTGATTGTTGTCTGATGTGGTAGTGCCCAACCAATGTGGGTGGTTCCACCCCTCATCAGGTGGGCCTGTGTTGAACAGGCCAGTAAGCAGTGTTCCTCCATGGCCCATGCTCCAGCTCCTTCCTCAAGATTCTTGTGCTGAATTTCTACCTTGAGCTCCCTGATGCACTGTGACCCATGAGATGTAAGATAAATAAACCCTTTCCTCCCCAAGTTGGTAGTGTTTTGTCACAGCAATGAAAAAAAAAGGGACAATATTGTATAAAGGAACTGTTGTGTAGAAAATTATATCATTGTAGTCATCTACCACCTTGGGCCCTTACAATATTTTCACCACTATTCAGCAATGATTCCTTGAGCCATGTGAGGCAGAAGTTTGAAATAGGTTTCTTATTCATAGACAACTTCCCTGCAGGCCCTTGTTCTCTGCACATTGGACAGTTACGAATTTCTGTGTTGATCATCATCTTCTGAATAAGGAACCTTCTCTGGTGAGAACTGAGAAATGTATTCCTCCTGTGTGTAGAGGTTGCATTAAAGATGTGTCACTTAGGGTTAAGTGTCTCACAGATATTTGATCTCTGCATTTGACAAATTGTGGAGCTCTGTGTTAGTCTCCATCTGTCACAAAAAGAAGATTCTTTGGTGAGTGATGAGAGGTACACTTGGATATTATAAGAAGATGTGTAACTAGGATACAGTAAAAAGTACCATTGTCTAGAAATGTGACAACGTAGGTTTTTCCCTAGGATCTACCACCACTCCAGTCTTGTGTATTTTGCTATGTTTACCAGTATCACACTTAATTTCCCTCCTTTTGAGCAGGTCTTAACTCCAGTTAGAAACTGTTGATTATCCACCAAATAAATGTGCCATTTCTGCACAAAAGGTAAAAGATTCCTGGACCAGTCATTTTGATTAGGGATTACAGCTGAGTGTGACCACTGATTGTTTTTATCTCTTGACAGCTTTCATAGTATCCTCTAATAAAAAGATAGCTTGTAATCAGAGCGAAGACTTCTAGGTCAAATCCAGTTCAATTTCTCCAAGTCCTGTGTACAAACTATGACTTATATTCAGGGATACTGACTAACACTCAAATTGTGGGTTTCAATGCAGGGCTGTACCAATAGCTTGTGTTATTTTAGGAGTCTATTAGCTCATGTTATTTTAGGAGTCTGACCAGCAATTCCAAGAGAGGTTTCTTCTCTCTGACCCTGTGGTTTTCACTATATAGCCTTCAGCTAAAGTAGGTCTTTGAGCTAATATATTTCACTCTGGTTTTTCACATCAAAAATTATTCATCTCACCTCTCATTCTCCCAGTATAACCCTCCCGTAACCCTCTCAAGTTAAAATAACCTCCCTTTTCTACATTTCCCCCTGTCTTCTACTGTCTCCCACTGTCCAGCTTCTTCTCCTTACCCACATGGTTCCATTTTTTTAACTACTGCGGTTACATCTGGTCAATACTCACATCAAAGATTTGGAGTAAGATCCATAAATGGGATAGGAAATGCATTGCTTAAATTTCTGAGTCTGTATTACTTAACAGAGTATAACAGGTTCTTTTTTCATCTATTTACATATACATTATATGATTTCATTTTTCTTTAATGAAAAGGAGTATTATAATGGGATCAAATTGTGGATTTATTTGTAGTTTTTTAAGCTTTCTCCATGCTGATTTCCACAAAAGTTGCCTTAATTTGCAATCCCACCAACAGTGGATGAAGATTCCCTTTTCCCTGCATCTACACTAGCTTTTGGTATCATTTGTTCTATTGATCTTAGTCATTCAAACTGGGGCTAAATGCACTCTTAATAGTTTTGATTTGCATTTCTCTAGGAACTTAGGATGTTGAAAACTTTTAAAGATGTTTCTTATGTATTTTAACTCCCTTTGTAAAAGAAATCTCTCGTCAGATCCATAGTACATGTTTCACTTGGGTCATTTGAATCCTTCTTTGTTTATTGAATTCTTTGTATGTTCTGGATATTTATCCTCTTTTGGAAGAATATTTGGTGAATATTTTTCCCACACTGTGTGCTTCCTCATCACTCAAATGATTGTTTCCTTTATTGTGAAAAAGCTTTTTAGTTTAATGAGATTTCATATGTTGATTATTGACCTTGATACCTCAGCAACTGATATCTTTTTTTGAAAGTCTCTTAGAGCATCTATATATTGTAGGGTGCTGCCTAAGTTTTCTTCTAACAGTTTCAGTGTTTCAGGCTTCACATTGATGTCTTTGATTAATTTGGAACTGATTTTGTTCAGAGTGATAGGTGTAGGTCTAATTTCAATCTTCTCTACAAAGAAGGATAAAATTTGCCAGCATCATATGTTGAAGATTCTGTTTTCCTTCCAATGTACGTTCCTGGCACCTTTGTCAAATGTCGGGTGGCTATAATTGCATGCACTCATATTTTCTGTTTTTCCCACTTTGACCTGAAAGTCTATTTTGTGGAAATATCATCCTTTTTTAAATTGATTTTTAGTGATTTTTGTGTATTTCAAACAGAATATCTCAAACAATTTAATCATCCTTATATCCCCATCCTCACCAGCACCCTTCCATATCCCTCCACTGGAACCCATATACACTGTCATCCGTGTTAAGGCCCACTGTGTCAAGTCAGTGTCCCCAGATAGTCCCTAGAGCTAGTCCTTCCACTGAGTTCTAGTCAGCCTATCTAGAGTCCCTTGTTTTAGGAAGATCAGCTTTTCCTCACCTAATAGTAATCAGTTGCCAATATTTCTTCAGTTAAGATTTGGTTTTGCTGTCCATTTTCCAAGTTCTATGCTGGATTTTTGTCTTTCCAAGTTTGCATGGGACTTGTGTATGCTGACACCATTGCCATAGATCATATGAGCAGGTTCCTAGGAGCTTGCAGGGCTCTGTTCCCATACAGTCTTGCACCTCCTCCCTGGCTCTTACAATCTTTCTGGCCTCTCTTCCCTGGGTGGGAAGCTCAATACAGGAATCCTGTCCAAGGACCAGCATTCTGCAGACTCTTTATCTCTAAGTTTCAGCTTTTGTGAACTTTTGAGCTCTTGACCCTCCATTTCATGAGAGAGCTTCATTTATGAGAATTGAGAGATTCATTAGTTTCCTTTTCTTTACTCCTGCTCTAAGTTCTGTGTACCTTAGTTGTATAGGTTGCCTTGTAGACTTGGGCAATTCATAGACAATGTCTGTGTGCAATCAGTTGTGGTACTTGGTAATAGTGCGGGGCAGCTATGGGAGTGTGCCATTTGGGAAGTGGGTATATAGATGAATAAGATTGTTTGGGCTGTTCTGTATGATACACACATACAAAAAATCAACAAATTAAAATATGAGTTATATTTGAGGAAGAAGCATAAAAATTGGCTTCATATTAATTAGCAGAGGTGAAAAACATTACCATTGAAATCTACCTGATGACTTTATATCCATACTCAGGTGCTAATATCCGAGTGTAACCGAGTGTGACTAGTAACAATCAGATACATAGAGATTAGAGATGTATGTGTAAACATTTAAGTGTTAGTATCACTAAACATGACTTTTTCTGTAGGAAACAATACATTTTAAAATGAATTGAAGATCTTTTTTAAAGCTTAAAACCTCTTTCAATTTTATGTCTTATAGGGTTTATACTGAGTTCAATATTGTATAACTGTATTAATTCAACAGTGAACCTAAGAATTTACAGCCACTTTTGAAAGAGATGTATCTTTGCTCTGGAAATTATTATTGAATATGTTAAAGATTTAATGAAATGCTTCTAATCATGTGGTTATTAACTAAATGATTAAAAAAATAGAAACTGCAAAAAAAATCAAAAAATAAAAAACACACTAGAGGAGATGAAACTTACAAATAGGCAGACTGAAAAGCTTCCATGTGTCCTTTTTATTTTCCTGCCTCAAATATTACATAATTTTTTTTAGCAAAGGGCCAATATTCTACCA